TATGGCCATTTATTCCTGCACTTCAGCTTTCTTTCTATTGCACTCCGTAAATTCTAATATTTCGATTAAAATATATTAAGAACCTTAAATATATTTTTCCCTTATCTCTTCCTTCTTTGGCTGTAACTTGCAGCTCCTCCAACAATTCTTTGCTTGTTGTTATGGTCCACTCAATACCATGCTCTTCTCTTTTAAAATATTCTAGACACGGTTTTATTGGTGATCCAACGAAGGTGCAGAGAAAGGGTCTGTGTTGGTTGATGAAAAAGAAGAAATTGGAGAAGAAGAGTGAAAAAGAAGAAACTGTTCCATCGTGGTTAATCCAGAAGGCTAAGTGGGGTGGTAATTATCCAGCGCACATGATGAAATACAAAAGTTTTAGGTGGGAAGTCAAAGAGAAAAAGAGGAAGGCACTAAGGAAAATGTTTATCAGTGATGGAGAGAAATAATGGAGGGAAAAAAAAGTATATCTACTGCACTAAAAATGAAAGAATGTGAATTAAAGGATAAAGTATTGATAGAGTTTGGCTTGGGAGAATTAAAAGGATAATCAATAAACACCTATTTTAATTGAATACTGGATTTAACCATCCCAATTCGAGATCCGGTAATACATTCTATTATGGAATTGTTTCTAGATGGATGCGAGTGTCAGCGTAGTCAGGGTTTTCATTTGCAGAAGGTTTTCATTTGGAGAAATTATGGCTCTTTGATTTTTTTAAGGATAAATTGGAGATTCATTGATGTTCAGAGTTAATCTAGATATTGGTTATTATATTTAAGTAGCGTATGAATGAAATGGTTAGAAATTGATTGTAAGCAGGGGTTTAGTGTTCTAACGCATATATTTAAGATTTTTTTTTTTTTTACATTGTTTGAAACTGATTATAGCTAGAATAAGATGACTATAATACTAGATGACATGTTGGTGTTGCTATCTGTTTGTAGTAGAACGATCTTGTCTGAATGAACCCTTAAACTTTGAAACGGCTTTGAAAACTATCATAGACCTTTTGGGTATAGATTGTATGAGGGCTACATTTAATTTTAGGTAATGTTGTGGTCCCTACATAAGATTGAGTTGGCTGAGAGATGTATATAACAACTGTTGTGAGAATTAATAACGAGAGTATGTCACATAGGCCTATTTGTTTCATCATGCACAACTTTTGCAAATAAGAACATCTCATACTTGATACTTTTTAGACATCTGCAGTGTGACAGATATGCTTGGGAAATTGTTGCATCTGCCCACTTGTATGAACAACTTGGAGATGCTAGCTTTGCTGAGACAAAACAATTTGTTGGATATCTGACTCTTTTATAGGTACACATGTATTTTGCACTTGTTTTATTATTGAAATACATTTGTACTTTTTTTTGTAGAGTTGAATATATGAACACTTTTCTGGTATGAGAAGGAAATGGTTGTTGACTAGTTCTGATGAGATTAGACATCGGGCCACATGTTTTGTAATAGGAAGGCAAATTTCCAGCCTACATGAGGTCAAGACACAATTAGATAGTCTAATAATAGACTCTCATTTCTTACTCAAGGACCTTCCCTTGAACTCTTGAACTTAGAAACTCTTTGTGAATCACTTGAGAATCTAGTATTCTTTTTAGGCTTGAGAAACTTAGTGTCTGCGGAGCTGGTGAAGTGTTGTTGTGGTGACAAAAGAAAAGTTGGTTCATCCTTAATGTGTTTTAGGAGGTGTTCTGAAGAAGGCGTCATCCTTTGTTTGTTGAAGGAAGTGATCATCCCTTGGTGTGTCTGAGGGAAATGTGTTTCATCTCTTGAGCGTTAAAAGAGTTGTATTCTAAACCTTGCAAATTTTATCTGTGTGATTGTAGTTTGTATTGATTTTATGATTAGTAGATAATTAATATTGTTTTGAGATTAGCAATTGGACGTAGGATTGGTAAGATCATAACCAGTATAAAATCATCTGTGCAAATTTCTCTCTACCTTACTTTTTTACTTTGTTTCTATTATCTGCTAAGTAAGTTTGATTAAGAGAAAATTAGGCACATGTTTTTGTAAGAAACCAATTCACCCCCCCTGGTTATTTGTCTGCGCAATGATTATGCTACAGCCGCTTTGACAATCAATATGTAATCAAATAATGTTTATGTATTTATGTTATGAAACAATGCTAATTAATTTGTTGTTGTCATCATTGTAGGGCACTATCAAACGTGTTTTGACCATATTACAGAGGATGATTGATTGTCGTGAGGTGAGTGAGGACATTGTAACCTAAGACCAAACTAACAAAGCATTACAGATAGCTCGTGAGGCGTCCAAAGAACATGCCCTCAACAATAGGTGAGGTCGCAATGTATGCGATAAACATTCATCTACATCTAGCTTGCAGCGTGTTTGTTCAATGATTTATTTATCTATATTGATTTACATGTATTATTAGTGTTTTTATTATGTCTTATGTTGTTTTGAACTTTGAAGTAATGTATGCTTATATTTAACTTGTTTATATAATACAAATATCAATATTTCTATAAGTCCACATAAGTATTATTCACGTCCATCAACTCTACAAATGTTTGCATCTTACTAACATAAAAAGATGAGAATGCATGAGCTTCGTTGTAACAATGGGTAGATGATATGATATCTACCATCAATGAAGAACAACCTTCTTGTTAGTGAACTTGTAAAGATAAAATTAGTAAATGAAAATGATTTTATACTGATACAAAATACTAATCACTTTACATGCACAAAATGATAATCATGAACATGTCCTATATTTATTAGTTAATATTGTCTTATATTAGAAGGTGGTATAGTATGTAGTGGGAAGATCGTAATATTTTGAACCGATGACATACAGTCTAAGATGACATTATATCGACTAGAAATAGCATAGTTT